TCACAAACACATGCTTCTTCCTTCTCAACTGCCACTCAATCACATTACAACATAGCAACCAAATAGAAGCTCTGTTCTGTTTAGGAGAAGGGTTGTTGATCACTATACAGTGGGGCTGCAATCTCTCCAGTTGCTGCCAAATACCATCTTGACCCTTCATAGTGGAAAAGTTGTATCCTGCCTTGAAATCCATAGGAGATGCAACTTTAACACCATTCTTTGAAAGGAACCAAGATAATCCACTGTTTCCATGAAGTAACTCAACAACATCAGGATGATCATCATTACAAAAGAAAAAGGACTGTTCTCCAAATTCGGCATCAACATACAGTTCGTGATCTTCACGTAAGTTCTCTGGATTCTCATCGTCTAATGCCGGAATGGAAACATCATGCCACTCATCGTGATCACGTCTAACCTTTGACTGATTCACACGTATCACTGCCTTACCAGTATTGGCTTGGACCATAGCTCCTTCTTGTCCAAGTACTGTGGCACGAACCCAACGTCCTTTATCCTTGAACTTTGATGAATCCTGAGTCCAAACAAAAACCTTCTCTCCTTGGAAATAAGGACCGTCACTTGGCATAGTCCTTCTCGCAAGATCTGCTCGAAGGTCCTGAGCTTGTCGTGCTTCTTGATGAGCTCTCAAAGCCACACGTTGTAGTTCCAAATTTGTACGATCTTGTGCGGCGGCATTAGCTGACAATTGCTCAGGGCTTGCGGTCTCAAGGTCAAAAAGATCTGGTGGACGTCTTCCAGTTGCTATCTCTATTGGTGAATATCCACTGATAGTCAACTGACAATTTCTTGCCCAAACTACCTTCTTGACCACTTCTCTGACCGTAACACCACGAAAACGTGGGTCATCCAGATCTATCTTCATAACATGCCACATACGTTTGAACAAACGTACAGCTGTCTCTGCTCGGTTCGGCCAAGGAGTTCTTGGCCCACAAGGACATTGTTGTATACCATGGAACCTGTAGTATTCAACAAAAGCATCTGTGAAAAAGGCTTCGTCTCCTACGATGGCCTTTGGAACACAGTTGTTCTCATCAGACCATTGCCTCAATGCTTGGATGGTGGTTTGATCTATGAGGTCTTTCTGTGCCGTAGCCCAGAGAAGATTTGTGGCACCATCAAGAACAAGTAGAATGATATACTTGTTCTTGTGAAGTTCAACCTCACAATGATCAGCAAAAACAACATCACCAAAACATGAAGCTCTAATACCGGAGACTCTGGCTCGTGGCGGAGGTGCCACTGAAGTGTTACAAACACGGCAGTTCCTGACAACTGATTCATACTTCTCTAAAACAGAGTCAGGAAGCTTCAACATAGAAACACGTCTACGAAACTGAGTAGGACTCATATGGTAGTGCTTCACATGAAGCTTATAAAGCTCTACCTTGTCCTCCAGTCTCTGTAACATCTTCCTATATGCCGGTGTCATTGCAACAACTTCACTACCAGGTAATGGGATTGAAATCCGCCTAGGCTCAAGAGCGCCATCACCTGGTTCAAGTGGTTCATGTTTATCACTTGATGGTCCTTTTGATGCTTTAGGAATTTCTACAAGTTCACCTTCTGGCCTCTCAGGTGGTTCTGAGGGAGCATACTCCTCAAGATCATCACCCTTTAAATCATTCTGAGGCTCAGATGGTTTCGACTTGTGTCCCTTCCAAAATGGATCAAAACCCTTGGAAGTATACCGGAACTTTGGCGGCACGGGCTTTTCCGCGGCACTGGATGGTGCACCTTCCTTCTCTGACGAGAAGCCTGGTTCCCTGTCCTTTGCAATGGGAACCTTCTCTGAGGAGGAGCGCACCACTGCATCGGGATCACCAATGCCACGGTGCTCAATGCCAGCCTTCCTGATCTTTAGATCTGGAATCTTGGCATCTGGCTTAAATTTAAAAATTGTTCTACCACGCCATTCATAGCCAAGTTGTAGGTCCTTCCATTTTGCCTTGCGCCAATCATCTGTCTTCTTGATTTCTTCTCCTCCTGTCTTCTTCTTGATGATTGTCAGTCGCAAGTCTTCCAGCAAGTCAGTGTCTACAGGACAGGACTTAGTTGCTGGAAAAAGAATTTTCCTGTAATCCTTGTGGTGACGTATCAGTTCTCTCTTGCGCACATCTACTTCCCAGAAATCAACCACAGGATATGCATGCTCAGCTTCACTTTCATCACTATTGTGTTCAACAGAAATATGGCCATATTCATAGTGAGTGAGGTGAGAGTAAAAACTCTTCTCACGCTGAGTCTGCCAACGCACGTCAGACAGATACCATGCAATATCTTGGAAGTCCAACACAAGATGAGTACTGGCTGCAACCTTCAACTCCAAAAATTTGATACCAAGAGGCACCGATGTCAGATAAGCATGTCGAGGTGTCAGCCTGAGTTCAAAGCCTAAGTTCCTCATCTGTGGCAAGCTCATAAGCAAAGGGACTTCTCCTTCTTCCACTATGTCGAACTCTGTATGGTGGATCGTCCATGCACGATCATACATATAAATCACCAGTTTCTGAGAGCAAGTAGCCTTCTGGGAATTGGCAAAGTAAAACTTGCTCTTGGTAGACTCAAAAGAGTACCATAATCCACAGTCTGGGTGATTGTCGACATAGTTGCAAAAATGGTCGACTGCTCGCCTTGATCCCATAGCTCTAGTGCATCCAATGTCCAGGATTGCAATAGTTGGCGGGAAGCGATTCTCAGTCAAAAATGAAATGGCCTGCATCTCCTTCACTTCTTCCTCAGCGCTCATAAGCGCAAAGCCATCAGCGCTCATAAGCGCAAAGCCATCAGGAGCCTTTGTGAGCATCTCCTTTGACAAAGAGTACCTCACAGGGGCACTCATGTCATCGAAGATCGTCTCACCATTGTTGACCACGCAGTCAGCTTCATCTTGGCATGAGGTCATCATGCCTGACAGCAAGTCCACCTCACTGTCATGGACTTCAGCTGCTGCTGTCACACAATGTGCTAAGAAAACTTGTTGACCTCCTGATGCTTGTGAAGTTCTTGAAGGTGCAGGTAAAGAACGTGGCTGTTGTTGATTTGCATAGTTTGCATCTTGTTTGCCATCTCCTTTATCTTTTCCTTTTCCTTTCTTGCCTGTTCTCTTGCCTTTTCCTTTTCCTTTGTGGGAAAACCATGCTTCTTCAAGCTGTTGCCAAAAGTCATTGGCATCATCATATTCTCCTTGAAGATAGTCATTCATATCCTCGGCAAGAATGGCATCATATGCTCCTTGGGTTGACTCCCAAGTGTCCTCATAAGGATTCTCTTCAAGGTATTCATCTGGAAAAGTTGTCTGTTGCTCATCAGCAAAATGGCCTTTACCTCGTCTCTTTCCTTTTCCTTTTCCACGAGGTCTGAAGAATCTGCGGCCTAATCTTCCTTTTCCTTTTCCTTTTCTTCTACCTTTTCCTTTGCCTTTTCTGGCTCTTCTTCCTTGGAATCTCCTTTGGAACCATGAGAAGTTTTGATCATCATATACCCAAAAGACATCGTCCAGGGCATCTAAAAATCCTTCAGTTCCATCTTCTTCATCTTCGGCCCAATAGCCATATGTACCATCGAGTTCTCCTTCGTCTAGTACGAGAAATGATCTTCTACCTCCAGCACCTGTCGGCTGCATCAATGGATTATCTACTGAAGTCTTTGTCGTGCAGAACATCTCGATGAACACTGTCCTCAACTCTGTTGTGGTGTATTGCTGCAGGTACCTGCCACGATGAGTCATCAACGAAGTCAAAGTGTTTCGCTGGTCCTGAGACAAATCTGCAAGGGACAGCATGAGTAGGGCAATGAGATTCTCTCCTAAAGGAAAATCATTCTGATGAAGAATTCTCATATTGCCATTGACATTCTGCATGATTTCCTGAATCCTTTCTGCCGTTGGTGCTACTCCAGTCAACGCTGCATCTGCCTGCATCTGAGCAAGGACTTGGGGATGTGCTTGAGTGACTGGTTCTAACATGTCCATCCAACTGCTCATAAGCCTTTGGAGTAAAATCTGGAATCTTGTCATCCATTTCATCATGTCGGCTGATCCTTTCACGAAATATGGTCGTAGTACTCTTTTGAAGTAATCTACTCCTGCTCCTGGTGGCTCATTAGCCTTCAATGAATCTCTGTCTAATACACGTTTGTATACTGCTGCTTCTCCTTCTAATCTGTTTCTCAAAGCTGGTCCTCTCTTCTCATCTTCCAGCTCGGTGATATCACACCAATCGTCTATGGCATCCTCATAGGAAAACCATGAAGTCTTTCCATCATAAGATGGGGGCACCTTTGTAGTGACCTGTGTTGTCATTGCTATTGCTGCTGGTTCTCTTCTCACATGCCTATTCACGTAGGCTGCTGGCTCATAAGCCACATCCGCATCAGGCTCTTCCCAGTCGTCAATCCAATCCATGGCCGTTTGCCCACAAGCAATTCTATGCCTAGGAAAGGAGCTCACCTGGGTCTTCCAGGATCACTGCTCCGCTACCACTGAAAGAGTGACTAGGGCGTACACGGTAGAGGTGCAGACCGCTAGTGTCTTTTGCTCACGCAGAGTCTTATCCTCTATTGGTCCATTGACCCTCTCTTTGAGCCTTGAAGCAGTCAAGCATGGACACACTAGATCAGCTGTTGGAGTGGAACCCTGTACAGGTAGGCTCTACTTTTCAAGGGGGGGGGGTCGAATCAATTGATTTATCAATCATTCATCACATGGGAGGGGGGGGGGAGGGGGGGGTGGGGGTGTTAGACATTGATCTACCAATCTTTAGTCCCGAGCAAGCTCTCAAGCCAGTCCCTTTGCTTCGCAAAGCAAACTCAAGGTAGTCCTTACCAGGCTACCTTTCGTGATATCTTTGGAATATGTATTGACATTTTTTGGACATTTATGCTGACATTCTTTTCTGGCATGCGTTCTATCGGTTGGAAATGCCTGAGGTGGATGCAAACAGTACCAAAGCCGGCACACAAGCAAAACAGGCCGCCTTCTTGGCAGCAGAATCTACAGGGCCAGTCAAAGGCCAGCCTCAAAACGTCAATCAATGGCTTTGGCTCAAGGATGCTGTAGAAAGGGATCCAGACTTGTGTGAACCACGATTTTGCACACGCGAAGAACACTGCATACAGTTCACAAGCACAAGTGATCCTTTATGCGTTGCAATGATCTGTACATCTTGGCAAAGCCCTTACAATAAAACAAAGTACCATTCTTGTATCAGTGAATCATCCAGTGTCAACTGTCAACATGCATCAAGCTGCTCACAGAAGTGGCTGTGTGTGCCAATAACAGCAATGAAAAGGCCTAACTGGACGCATTCCAAAATCCAAACACAATTGGAGTCGCATAAACTTTCGTTCTTGGCTCTTGTCGCCCACTCCAGTTGAGCACACAAAAAAGTGATAATAAAGATCAAGAAAGGGTCTCCAATCCAACACTGTGGGAAAGTATGTAAAGTATGGAAAAACCGCTGCCAAGGCATGCCATGGCCATTGGCCATGGCTTTCTCTGAGGATCCTGCGTACGTGTTCCCTCTTGGCCCAATCTCGAAGCTGGGTGCGCTCGCCGTGCCGTGGGCGAAACCTTAAGCATTGTCGCCGAGCTCCAAGGGGCAGGAGAATCAGGGGCCGCAGTTCTTTTGGCAACTGAGGGACTTGCTGGATATACTGACAGGAAGAACTACAGTAATCTTACGTCAAATCGACTGGAAACATGTCTGGGGCAAGGAAAGGAAATATGTCCAAGTGCAATTCCAACTTCTGTTTCTTGGCATGGATTTGGCTCCACAGTTTTCCACTCTGAGTGAGATCAGGTCTGAAAGAAAGCACCAAACATCACCAAACCACTTGACGCAAGACGGAAAACTGTTGAAGCGACCTGAAGTCCATCACTGCTAAGGCTTTGTCGGTTCGGGCAGAAAAACTGATCAACTTTCCAAATTGCCATCACCGACGGGATCAACTAACGCCTGGCTGACACTGACGCCAGAAGAACAAAATAAGTATACAAAACACACTGAGGCAGCTGGCTCCTCAAAGTCAGCAGTTTGAGCCATGAGCCACAAGAGCTCCTGCACGGTGCCGACTGTTTGGGTGGTAAACAACAACATGACTCGTTGTTGTTTTAACACATATTGTAGCAGTGTTTTTGTGCAGCACAAATGATTGTTACAATTTGCTCGAAACTGTTTGCTGAGCTTGATTGCATTGGTCTGATGCCCTCATGGATTTGGCATTGAATGCCTGTGCATATGAGCCAACTAGGTGTCAGGACGAATTCATAGGTCTATAATCTCCCAAAGACCTGCGTCTGTTGACCATGTCTTCCGGTCTCTCCGATCCTTCATGTCTCGAGGGGCACATGCTTTCTGAAGCCAAGAAATGGTGTCGAAGCGCACAGAATGTCGACTGGCAACTTCTCCCAGTGGAGTGGCCTGGAGTCAAAGAGTTTGGGCACCAGTTCAGAATGTTCACTGGTTGGGATGGGAAGGTGGAGAATAGCACGGTAAGTTAATGGACAAAAAGAAAACACATCTTTTGAAACGGTGAATGCCGCTTAATGGCCACGACATAGCATGCACATGCAACATGGGGAGTCCCAGCCTGCAAATGAGGTCCATCCCAAGTCACCAGGCCTGCTTGAATCATCTTCTGCACTTCTCTGTCAGCGATAGTCTCAAGGAACCCCTCCACATCAGGGCCATCGAAGGAGAGCAACGGATGCGGGCCCTGTGCGATGGGGCACAAAGATGCATAGCGCCCCGGGTCGCTAGCAGCTCGCACCGCCAAGAAGGTACTCTTCAGCCAAATGCAAACTCCGGCAATGCTTGAAGTCGTTTCAGCAACCACCTCTGCAAGGAGTGACTCTGATAACCTGCCAGGCAAGTTGCTTTCCAACGGGCGCCCACTAATGATCTGTTGCCATCGGCCAGCCAAGCCATGCTCCGTCATGATCACTGCAATACCTTGCCGATCAAATTGAGGGCGCCCTGCACGGCCCATGATTTGCAGGATCTCCAGCTCATCGTACTCCTGCCAACCGTCTTTGTATGCAGTGGTCCCTTTCACAATCACCAAACGCGCTGGCAGATTCACACCCAATGCCAAGGTTTGAGTACAAAAGAGAACCTGAATGGCTGACTGTAGGAACATCTCTTCCAAAATGCGCCGGTCACTGGCGTGGAGGCCTGCATGATGATATCCCAACCCATGTGGAAGAAGACTGCGAAGGGTTGCGTCGGATAAGGAGGCAGCCTTCTCAAGCAGCAAGGCTCGTAGTTGAGGATCCGGCTGCCAAGACCCTTGCTCCTTCTGTAGGAACTTCGCCGCAGTTTCACAGGCACGTTTGGTGGCACAAAAGACCAAGGTCGCCTTGCCCTCTGAGAACTGACGGATGATGCCGGACAAATGTTGATTCAATGACTCTTGAAACAAGAACTCGTTCTTGCCACTCCTGAAGGTCTGCACCTCACAAAACAAAGCGTGACATCCACTTCTTGAATCTTCTTGACATGACTTGTTGACTTGTGGTGCCAACTTGAGAGGCACCCAAAAGGTCAAAGGCATCTCAAGGAGCATGTAAGTCCTTGAAAGCTCCTGAACGTGTGACCTAACTGCAAAACCTACGAAACAAACTGATCATATTGTTAATACAAGTTGTGGCTACAAACTTGCAGTCCTTATAAGAATCATATGACACACCTCCTTCCAAAAACCTTCCCGCCACCGAACCGGCGTGTCTCTCGCTCTCCATCTTGCCTGCACGTGCAAGGGCACCGGTCGGAACTCCTGCCCAAAGGTCTTCACCTGGTGGGGCTCCACATGCAACCAGCGACCCACCTCTTCCACGTTGGGCACCTGAGCGACCGGAGACTCCACACGCGATTAGAAGAGGAGACTCTCGGACGAGCTTGGCCGATTCTGAGTTTGGAATTCGGAGTCTAAAGCACCACGGTGGACTTCCAAGTCCTGGATCTCCAAAACGAAGCATTTATATGTCGATCTGGTCATCCCACGTATTTGATCGTATTTGTTTGGCTTATAGACATGGCCTGAAATCAGCCCTCATAGCTAAGCCCAGAACAGTGGCGGAAACTGCCACGAAGCGCAAGGGAGGGACCTTGGGTCTGCCAATGGAAGAACAACTTTCAGTATGCCCAAAGGTCCGGGGGTGTCAGAATACCATGATTACTGGGTGAACATGGGGGAGCCATGACTCAGACCGAGTGGCTCCAGCCTGAGCAACTTGTCGAAGCCTGAGCTGGCAAACAGTCTTGATGAATCTGTGAAGCCTTGAGGAACCTGGACAAACATGTATATTGTATTTACTCCTCTGACAAACAGCTTTCCAACAAAATGTGCAACCACCTTGGATATTTCGCAACATTATATAATTGTGTATTCCAATATAAAGATGCCCTTCTGAGAGCTTTCACGCGCATGGTCTCGTGAGTGTCTTCTCTATCTGTTCTCCGCTTCGTGCCGAACAACCTCCGGTGTACTGAGCTTCAGGCGACCGAAGCCGGGCGACGAGCGCTTCTAAGAGGGCGCCTCTCTTGGGCATGTTCAACATATGCACCTGCCAGCGGGATTGAACCATGTTCATAGCTTTGGGGAATCGATCGGTCGTGGTTGACCCCTACCATCGAAGTTTGGGGATGGAATTGAAATGAATTGAAGTGCAATCAGCAAAATCTAGACATATGGCTTAGAGTGGGGTGCCATCAACCAGGAATCTTCGATGATTTTAAAAACCTTGAGGGACTCCCAAAGCCTCGAGGCAACTGCAGGCATGGTGGAACAGCAGTTCACACTCCAACTCTGTCAAAAGACCCACCTCTGTTGATGATCTAGAGATTTTGAACCTCACACGGCCCATGTGGCCCCCGCGGCCTCATCCAAACAAACCACTTGCAAATCTTCCTGAGCGCTGCACACGAGAGCTGGGCGTGCATCTGCAATCCACTGTAGATCCCAGGCTTTTGCTGTACAATTGTCACCAAAGGGTGACTTGTTCTGAGATGATGTCTAAGACGAACTCCCAAACACCCTTGTTACTGTGGACAAACATATTGATGAATGGATTGCATCGTGCAACACCTTGGAGTTGAATGCAAGTTGTTGTTGGCGAGGATCCATCACACTGAAGCCTTGCGAGGATCTGCCTGCCTGCCGCATAAGGGCATCCCACCTGACAGAAAGAGGACAAGAAATACCCTGCAAATCCTTCTAGGACTCAAGGAGTGTGACTTCCTGCATCAGGTTTGAGTCAAAACTGTGAAGTGTTTGCGGACACATCATTGAAATAACGATCTGATTGGCTTAAACTTAAACTATTGCAATCTCATGCAATCTCACTGGGGATTGATTGATGAATACAAGCATGTCGAATTGTCTCACTTGCAGCAACTCAGGCGCCGCACATTTCGGGAGTTGCAACAATGACTCTTGCTGAAGCCAAGCGAGACGACACACCACCTGCACAAGTTGGGGGCATTCTAAGCAAGTATATCACCAGCGCGTCTAGTGGACAACATTTGCCTTTATATAGTAGTGTTGATCGTTGGCAATCCAGTCGTTTGACCGTTCCTGATATCATTCTTGGAACTTTACCGCCCCCAGCCCGACAAAGTCCTCTTTTAAGTACTCCCTGAACATATCATGGTTGCGTGCATAGCATGGCCCGCAAAGGACAGGATGACCATTTTCCCTTTACAAGCAGGTGACTTTCCACTTCCATAAGTATACAGTATATTTCACTTGTCCTATTACTTATGGAAGGAAATCCTATTACTTATTTACGAGGAGTGTAGTAATCCTTGTCCTGTTGATTGGCACACCTCGTCGCCCAAGGACCATCTCATCACCCGTCAACTCCACCACGTCCTGCGGACCCACAGCAGTGGTGTTGACGAATTCCCTCAACGCATTAAACAACATGCAACCGGGTGAAGCAAAACATTGGAAGACATCAAACGATCTAAATATCGATCTATCGTTCTAATTAAACAACATAATATAAGAAAAACATCTTCTACTCCCCAAGCCAGGCCTCGCCAAGCTCTCCGAACATGTCCTTCCATTCTCGCGCCTTCTCTTGACAAAGGGCCTCCACAACCGAAGACGCATGGATACTCTTAAAGAGTGCAGTCTCTCGTCATATCTAAATCAGCGTCCCAAGTCCCACCGGCCTTCAATGGAGCCAAGTACAAAGCTTTGGCCTTGGAGCTTTCACGAAGCCTGGGAAGCTTTCGTCAACCCAAACACACCGCACGAAGCCTGGGAACTTTCGCCTCCATCCTCTTGCTGATCTTTCGGTGGAAGTAACTCGATCCACTATGGAGCTTGGGATAGCTCAGGCGCTCAGAATGCTAGAAAATCTGACCTTACTATACCACTTACTGACTGACTCTTCTTCTCCAGGTTTGTTAGTTGCAGCCAACTCCTGCTTCATACAAACCACCATAATATCATTCTTTTGAGGGAAGCACAAAGTTGTCACCCAAACGAACAATGCGAACCACAGAATCCCATTGGGTGAGTGTGTCATCGCATCATGTGAATCAACCAGTTTGTTAATTCACCATGATTCACCTGCAAACTACAGAACCACGTCTTCCACGTCTCCCACGTCTCTGTGGTGGTGTCGTCTTTGCTCGTCGCCTGTGATGCGCACGTGGTGAGCGATGACAGCCGAAAATCACCCGCTCAAGAGGCGGGAAATGCCTACATCCTGACAGGGTGAGGCCAAAAATGGAGGGCAGTCTGCCTGAAATGCTCTGCCGATCTTTTCATTGCTTGAAATAACATGTTTCATAATGTTTCATATTGTATGTCATTAGGTTCCAGGAACTTCCCGTATTCAACATCAACTGACTCAGTTCAGCAGAGCTTCACCCTGAAAAGGCCGAACGTCAGACTTCTTCAAAGCCAACAAGGCCCAAAACTTGATGTCGCAGCGCCATTGGATGTCGGTGGACATGCGACATCATTGACACCCATATGATTGCAATGTCCTCTTGCTTCACACCCAAAATGGACCCATTGTGTCATTCCTGCGGCACTGGCGGCAGAATCCCTGCTCAACCGCGGAAGAACTGCACTCACCATTGATGCAAGTCAACATCAAGGCTCACTCGCAGCACTCCGGAGGTAAAGTAGAACCTCCAAGCACACCCTTGCAGTGCCATTGACATCTTTCAATGCCAACCAGGAGAATGTCCACACAATAAAGCAAACATGGACTGATCTCTGTGTTTAGCAAATTTCCAGGTTTGTTCACGAGTCAACATGATATATCATCTTATGTGAACATCACAACTGGTCCTACCTAAGTTCGCAAGCCAACTTCGCCTGCAGGCGTTACGAGACACTTAAAACTTGGAGCTTCACGCTAGACCCCCAGGCTTCGGAATCTCTGCCACGAAGGCCTCGCGGGTCGTCCCAACGACCCGGAACGGCGAATGGGTGAAGGGGGATTTGGGGGGCGAAACGAAAAGCGACCCAACTTCTGCAGGTGGGCGAAGATCGACATTGGTTCAGTAAGAAGAGCGAACCCCCGCTCTCAAAAACCACCACTGGTCATCCGCAGCACGGCTGGCCCGCAGCAATGTGGCCTCAATGTCCTTGGCAATCTTCGCCGAATCCTGAAGGATCGGGAAGCCCATTGGCTGTGGGTCAAGACCAGCGTTAACCACTCACCCTGGTAGGTGAACCTCCCTGGTAGGCGTCCACCGGTTTTGACCCATATACCAATTTTGCTGGTTAGCTTGTGGTAGCTGGGGTCTTTGCGTGGGTACGGAACACTCTGAAGCTTGCCATTGTTGTACCTTTTTTTCCAAATCATGGAATCCCATTGCATGTGTTTGGATTCCGGATTCGATCATGCAATCCAAATATAGAAGCACCAAACTAGCAAATTAGAACAAGTCAATCTGGCAGACTGTGGATTCTGTACTAACACCGGACATTAAAAGCCCCGTATTGATAGTTGTTTGATGTTGTTTGTAGCCAAAAGCAAAAGACAAAGCCACCAAATTGCGCCCAAACACGATTTTGGGGACGGTCGGGGGACATTGGTTTGTTCTCTACCAGCCAAGCTGCGCTCTATTCACCAAATCAAACACATGGACTCCCACACGGAGCTCTCCCCCAGCGGTGCAGCCGCGATCTGGAAAAAGAACACGACTCTAGTGGCATCAACAACCATTCCCAAAACCTGCCAATGACTCGTCACAATCCTTCTATAATGTTGCTCCTCCCCCCTCACCCTCACACAAAAAAAGAAAGTTTGACAGATTCACTAGGACCTTAGTGGGAGAGGATTACTTATCTGGGGATGGATCAAAACATGGAGCCTTGGTCCATGTAGCGAAAGACTTTTTCAGGTAGGTCAGCCAAGGTTATCCTGCCGTGACTCCGATCCACCGCCATCCAGCCTAATAGCAATGGCCTCCACCCTAGTAGCGATGGCCTCCACCCTAACAGCAATGGCCCCTAGTAGCAATGGCCCGTTCGCTTCGCTTTGGTTTCCGAGCCTTGAGGCCCTCTTTGAGGTGTTGCGGGATGCGCGAAGCACCATTGGCCGCACCGATCAACGCACCCATGACCATGCCTCTCAGGGAGACCAGCTTCGAAACAGCCGAAGCATCGCCAAAAGCAAGCAAATTGAGTGAAGAAGGCAGTTGGGGGAGTTCAGTCATGTGCAAGTCCTACTGGAGAAACATATATGAATGGCTATATGTTCCTCTCCAAGTGGTGCAAAGCAAGTGAATCACCAACACAGGTGCACCATCCGACAGTACTACCTCAAGGCCAGGCACCTTCCAACCTTGGAACTTTCTTTTGATTGTGCCTCGCGCCACATTCTCCCCACCGCAGTTGGCGTTCGCCAGCACGGCCGTCTCGAAGTCAGAGCCATACTTATAGGTCATTTGCAGTACAGTTGGAAAGTTGGAGTCCAAATATCAGGCAACCACAGGATCAGGTCGGCTCAATGATGAGGCGAGTGATCGTCCAGACACGCTCTCCTTATAACATGACAAAACACCCAGCCAGCACACAGATCGGTGTATGCGTTTTAGTTGATCTCCATGAACAGAATGGACTGACATTGATATCAATCACGAGCCCGTGGTGCATTTCAGTAGTTGGGATTGACATCCCCTGATCATTGGTATGACGTAGCTGTATATATGTATATATATATATATTGGGACTGGCCAAAAATGTGCGACCCAAGGCAACATCATCAAACAACGCTGGGCACGAATTGCCTCAAAGACTCCATCACATCCGCCAGTGCCTTTCCATCCATGATCTGGCGAAACATGTCGGAAAGCCTCAACAGGACTGGAAACAACGAAGAATCGTAAAAAAAACAAAGAAGGCAAGGACTACGGTTTGACTAGGTGCAGCACTTTTTGAACAAGAAGTACACAACGATGCAGCATATGCAAACCAAAGACAATGTCGTACATCAAATGACAAGTCTACAGTCTAGAACACCTCTTCAACTCAGTGTCCCAAATGCGAGAGAGAGACAATCCAGCGTATTCTTGGCAAGGTCTGCCTGAAAAGAAAACACACCGCAGGACTCAGTTCTTTTCGCATGCGTCGCCATGCGATGCCGTCATGATGCCGTCGCGATGCGTGGATCGTCCATCAAACACTCGATGAAGCTTCAAGGTGACGCATCCGGGCCAATTCACTTTCGTGCGCAATATAGAACAGGGAGACCTCACCCAATACACCGGTCTACCCAGCCGGGGCCAGAGGGGGCCTCTCCCTTCAGTCGGTCCCCGGCGGCGCGCGAGCCGGCCGAGGAGCTCTTCCGTGTCACCGAAACGGCTGTCGCGACCTTGGAGCAAGCGGAGCCTCTGAGCACTTTCTTTTGGAGTTCGACAGAAAAAAACCTTGAAGGATTCTGTGCAATGCTAGAAATCAGCTATGAAGGAAAACACATTAAAATATTATCCTTAAGCCGTTGAGGGATGCTGGAATTGTTTCTTTCACACGTTCCCTTCAACTATTTGGATCGCCCTTCTCGTCCGCGACATCAGATTCGACTGATTGAATGAATCGAACCCATTTGGAAACTGAGCCTCAGCACCTGCTTGTGAGCTTCTTCTGGAGAAAGATGCGCCGTAGCCAGTGCTACAGGGATCTGCGCAAAAGACATTGGTTTTTGCATGGTTTTTGTCCATTCAGACTCGACCAGTGTGGCAGCTCGAAACCCTTTCGTCTCGAGCAGTAAGGGCATGGCGGTCATCGGAAGGCCGCATGTGGTATCCACATTGTTACCTCAGGTCGATCGTCGACCGACCGGTTGGTCTTGACCTGACAACACGACCTGACCGGTGTCAGGAAGAGGTTGCAGCTGAGGTGCCGCTCACTCCTTGAATTCTTGTGCAGCTTGATCTGCACTCCCATGATCTCCCAAGTGTACATCAAAAAGGATAATTACCATTTCAACCATTGAAAATTGAAATGATGGCCTGACAGAATGCAAGTGATGAGATTGATTGATGTGATAACATTGATACCATTGATTTGTGATACCATTGATACCATCATTCTTGATTTCTTTCACCCGTCAGCTGGGCCTGAGATTCCCAAACCCATCAGCTGGGCCTTCCCACCGTCGTTGTCTGGGCAACGCTCCAGCGGCACTCCACGCCTTCAAGGAAAAAAATATATATATATATATAATGTTATTTCAATAGGAAGATTTGGAAGACCCACCCATCCAAGGGTTTTGGTCTATGTTCCATCTTCCAGCAGTCTTTGAAAATCAATACGCACCCACATTAGTGTACCTTCAAAAGATATCGCACCAACAACAATCCTTGCGTTTGGACCATTTAACGAACCATTCAATCTCCAATAGGATGTGCAAATGGTCCGCCGTTGAAAAGTAAAAACATCTCTGGCCAATGATGACAAATAGTCGCCTCCCAAAGGAGAAGTGTCCTTGCTAGTAGTAATGGCCTCCAACCTAGTAGCGATGCCCTTCGTTGCTAGTAGCTTCTTGCTCCTAGTTTCTGCCAGGAGCTACTAGTAACGTCCTTGCTCCTAGTAGCGATGCCCTTGTTCCTAGTAGCGATGCCAGGAGCTACTAGAAGCTTCCTTGCTACTTATGATGACACATAGTCGCCTCCCAGAAGAAAACGATCACGTCTGGGGCTCCAACTGCTTATTGGCGAAGAACATTCGATGTGTGGTGCTCATGTAGCCTCAGCGAGCTAGTTCAGGGCCAACGAGTGTTTCAATAACCATGCAGTATGACAAGTATGAACCAACAAGAGCAACTAGATACATTGATTTGCCAGGACCTATTATGTTGAAAGAGGTGTGCGTCGATATCAACATGAAGACAACAAGCGCTTAAAATATTGTGTTCAATCTACAGTCCATGATCAGATTAATCTGTTTCATCCTGAAGCAATGTTCCATTACAAAAAAGCTAGATGATGACATTATCAACCTGACTTCCCGGCTGGACACAAACATTGATAGACTGGAGGCAAACAATAGCGGTTTGATTTCAATCAATATGTATCAAAACTAAAGTAAACTAAAGTAAAGTAAAGTAAAACCGCTAAAATTCAAAAAGCCAAAAATCACATTGACTTACTCAAGTTGTTTGATAGGTATCCCTCTATGTAACAATCAACAACATTAGTTGGTTACCAAATTGCCAAAGCAACAACAACACACAAGAATAAAACCAATACTGCAAATACTGCAGTCACCAATTCAGCACAAAATCAGGGCTTGAACAAAAACACTATGAGGATGGTTGAACATCTTTTGCGGTTCAAACATTCAAATTCCCTGATAAGGCTTCATACATTGAGTCTCAAAGAGTCAATACCACATTGGAATGTCCCTTTGTCATTTACGGTGCTATTGAATGTCTAACAACACAAACCTCGTGGTTATGATTTATTCTGCCAATAGGATTGATAAACCATCATAACAACCTTACCTTTACAAAGGTGAGGACTGTATGGAACAGTTGTAAAAACACATAAATCGGCCAACGGGTGATTTAACACGAGCTGTATTAATGTTCCAAGCCGTTCTTTTGTCAATCGAATCCAGTATGTTCTGTCTGTGACTATGATTCTGCCCGTGCGTTGTGAGAATTCCTTCCATGCCATGAGGCTCAATCTCTTTACTATGTTGTCGTTTGTCACATTTGCCGCAGTCTGGTGTGGGCCTCAACATGAATGCTGTCTTGTCTACAGCAACATGCAGTGTTGTAAATGATGACAGGAGTTTGGTTTTAGTGGCAAAGCGGCAAACAACAGCTGCTGTGAAACTTGGAAACTCGGAGCAAATGGTACAAATTCTTCAGCGGCTATTGAATTATGAACGCAAAGAACATGCAACATAAGTAGTGTGTAAGAACACTGATAAATCAAATCTACGCCAACATAACGAAACTCAAACATGGGATGACAAAAGAAAACACACGGACAAAAACTAAACTAACTGAAAGGTAAGCTTGACATTGTTAGTTGTCGTGCCTTCAACACAAAGTGACAGGAGAACTCCTCTTTGAAGGAGTTCCAAAAAACACTTGCAGCTGCCATAGAAAATAAATTTGTGCAAAGAGGCGTTCTCCTGTCAATTCTACGTTGTTTTCGTTATCTTGTTGAACGTCCATGTCAGGATTGTGCATGTCGCACGTGGATAGTGTGGTCTTTACACAAATAACAAACTCGACTGTATGTTTGCTCCTTTTGATGGTCGTTTTGTTGCGTAGCAGCAGCTGGATACCCCGATGGTCAAATGCGTGTCAGCGTCTTGAAACGTGCATAGACAGAACCCGCAGTGTCAGAGTGAACAAGCACTGATGCTGTTCTTGATTTGTTCCTCGAGCAAAGCACGGCGTTGTAGAAACTGTACTCGAACAATGCGTGTGTGTGTGTGTCACCCCCTGTACCAAAGGGTCCAATGCCACCGTTTCCATTACCACCACTGAACAAGGCAGGG